TTCTGGGTCTTTAAGTGCAGCCTTTGGACTGAATCCAAATTTTACAGAACAAATCCTGTTATTAAAAGGGGTGCAGCAGAGAAAGATGAAGCTTTTCTTGCCTTCTTTCGTGTTTAAAAAAAAACAAGCTTGAAATCAGAAGGCTGCAGGTTCCCTAAGCCTGCTCGGGGCTGCTGTTTCTCCACAAAAGGATGTGGGATATAATTTCTTGTCCTTCATAAAACATCTCTTACGGCCACTTGCTAAATTCTTATAAAAAGGAGATATTAGATCACCTTATTTGTTCTACACAGCTGGTAGTTATTGACTAGGAATTTTGTGCCTTAGCTTTTAAGATTGGCCCGTGTGCCCACCTTGAATTTTTGGCAGGTCCTGCCCGAGATTTGCTTCTGTCTTTGGTAGTCCCGGCTCCTTCTCAGCAGCGGGGTCGCTCACATCCTGAAGATATGACGAAAGCCTTCCACAGAAGGGAGCTTGACCTGAAGGAGGCTGGGCAGTTGGTCCCTAATGACATGGTATGCCTCTCTCATCTGCCTTTCCTCTCTCCTCTTCCTAGAAAAGGACACAGCAGCATGACTAGAACAGCTCCGTGCCCTAAAGATCAGCATCACTATGAACGGCTAACCAAAATATGGAAAAGTCAGTCTGGGCAAAGTGGAACACAAAACTTGCCAGGACAGGGACAACTTGGAGGTTCTGCAGGGATGACTTCCTCATCCTAACCCAGGTCCAAAAATTCTAAAGATTTGAAATGGGAAGAAAGAAACAAATAAAAAATCCAAAAAACCTTGGAATGAAAATGCTTAGGATCATGTTCGTGAAGGTCATGGTTTGATCCCAATGAGGGAAGGCAAATGTCTCTGGGATTCTCTTTCCTCCCTTCTGATGGAGCTGAGGTCCTGAAGCAGGGGTCAGGGCCATTCTAGAGCATCAGGCTGCTGGTTCTGGGAGAGGATGAAGGAACTCATATCCCCAGGTTTTTTTCCCTTTTCTTAACATTAGAGGATTTTCAGACACCAAGTACAGTTCTAGAAACTTTAGATAGATGACTCAGAATGCTGGCCACTTGTCAAAATGACCACTGTTCTGCAAGAATAGTGGATAACTCATAGGAAAGATTGCGACTCCATGTGATCGATTTGTTTACTGCTCTTTAGCTGTGTTTACCAATGAACTAAAGTTCTAGTGAGACAGTCAGAGATGATTTCCATTCAGTTTATCACTAAGTAGAGGAAAAGATTCTTAAAGTCCTCTAAAAGCACTCCTCAGGATTTCAGATTCTTTATATGTTTGTGTTTTGTTTTCTGATCTAAAGGAAAGTTTGAAGCAAAAACTGGTCAGAGTGCTAGAGGAAAACCTCATTTTGTCAGAAAAAATCCAGCAGTTGGAGGAAGGTGCTGCCATTTCCGTTGTGAGTGGGCACCAGTCCCATGCTTACGGTAAGTTAAAGAAAGCCATGTGTGGGGCATCCCAAGACAACTATTTATCTATAGATGACCTGTTTCATAAACTTCATCATCCAAAGCTCACATGGCTGCCTTTGACCTACCTGGTCATTACTTTTCCTGGCAGTTAATGGAAACAATCATCTTGCCTGAGAGAGCTGTAATGCAGGTGGCTTGAGTTACCAGATGAAGTTCTTTGGCAGCATCAAGCTTGTACGAATGTTATTTATTGCCATTATTTTTGAGAATGACACTTGCTTTTGTGATTATAGCAGTAGAAAATGTTCTTTAAAATAAGTATGAAAAATGTAAGGAAAATATAACTCCATGACCTAGCAATAACTTTCATTAGTGTTTTTGGTATATTTTCTTCCACCTTACCTCTACATGTATATTTTTAACTCAAAATTTAAAAGTGTCCTGATTAAAAAAAAAATCTTTTTTTGAGATGGGGCCTTACTGTGTTGCCCAGGCTGTCTCCAGTTCCTGGGCTCAAGTGATCCTTCCGCCCTCAGCCTCCCGAATAGCTAGGATTACAGGTGTGCGCCATTGCACCCTTAAAAAATAATTTACATACAAGATGCTTACATTTTAAGTTTGATCCCAATCAAAATATAGAACATTTCTGTTACTCCAGAAAGTTCCCTTATGCTCATGTGTAGTTTCCCTCATTGTCCACTCTGGGCAATCACAGACCTGATTTCTATATCCTAATGTTATTAATTTAATTGTATAAGCATTTCCTATCATATCACATGAATATACTATATTTATCTATGTAGTTCTCTATATAGTTGTTTCTAATGTTTGCCATTATAAATAAAGCTGCCATTATTTATAATAATGGTTATATAATAAAATATATAGAATATAAGTAATTTTAAAGGATTTCCAAACATTCAAAAGAAAGACTTGAAGTGGAAGAAAAGGCCCTAGAATGAAAATGCTTCTCTGAGATTATCTTTCTTCCCTTCTGATGCAGAAGAGCTGAGAGTCCTAATATTGATTCTATCATAACTAATGCTGCTATGAATGTCTATACAATAAATCTTTGTGTACATTTCAGACTGTTTTCCTAGGAGACATTCCTAGAAGTAGAATTAGTGAGTCAAAGGATGTGGACATGTTTAAGGCTTTTGTTACATATATCGATACTCCCAAGAGAGTTGTCTCAATTTACACTCAAATCAGCAGTGTCCTTGATGCCCTTTTCACTCCACCCTTGTCAACACTGGATGTTTTTTTAAAATTTGCCATTGTGATAAGTGAAAAATAATATCTCATTTAAGTCTTGATCTGTGCAACTTTATTATCAGCATGGTTTAGGGCAGTATTTTAGATAAAGTTTACCATCAACAGACTAACTCGGCACCCCTAAGTAAATTATGGGCGTATGGATTTATATGAGGAACTTGATCTGGAATTTCTGATTTGGATGCACTGATGTCCATTTTTAAATCTCAGCACTATCTGATACTCACCTGTCTGAATAATCAAGATATCAGTGTCCACTTACCTACTCTGAATATAAAAGTAGGTGTTTGTCCACCAGATACTTGCTTTCAATCAGCCATGAGGCCCAGTACAGTATTTTGGCTTATTGGTGAAAAATACAGGTGTTGCAGCCCTGTTTTACCACCTTTTCAAACCCTGTTACTCAAAATGTGATCCATATTAGCATCACCTGGGAGCTTGTTAAACAAGCTATTGGGCCTCACCTCAAACCTACTGAATCAGAATCTATTTTTAGTAAGATCCCCAGGTGATTTGTAAGCATATTAAAGTTTAAGAAGCATTATTCCAGAAGACTGACTTCCTTAAAAGAAAAGAAAAAGAAAGAAAGACTGACTTCCTTAGGTCCAGAGTTCCTGTGCTTTTACCTACTCTATTATTATTGCAGGCAGTGGTAGCATATTTGGGGATCTAGGTATGAGTGTTTGGCCACAAATTCAGTTTCTGCAAGTACTCCTTGAGTTATTACTATGTGCCTGACTCAATTCTAGATGTTTTTACATATTACATAGGGAGTGAAGGAAATACATTCGCAAACTAAACTGGAGAATACGGAATACAGAGAAAGACCTAATATTTGCTGACTGCCTGTCTAAGTGAGGACAGGTGTCTCATTGAATCCTCAAAAGAGTGCTGTGGGGCAGGGTTATTAGCTCAAGTCAAAGTCAGAAAAATGAACTAACATGTGCAATATTAAGTGATTGAATTTTAAGTCTGATCTATTGTCATACCCCACATTCTTGCCACTATATCTCCTTTCTTCAAGAGAGGGAATGGCAAATGGAGTGTGGAGCTGGGTGCATTGGGGCCCCAATTCTCAAGATGTCCATCTAAATACTTATGCTCTGCTCAAAGACTGGCAGCTGGGAATCCTGTTCACCCTGGCTAATGTACCCTTTGTAGATGATCTCCTACGAAAAAACCAACAGCTGACCATGCAAGTGGCTTGTCTGAACCAGGAGCTTGCCCAGCTGAAAAAGCTGGAGGAGACAGTTGCCCTTCTCCATGAAAGTCAGAGGTAGGAGAGGGTCTATCTAGCTGACTTCTGGAAGCAGATATTTATTTCTTTATCTCCTTCGTTTTGCTTGGAAAGTTAATATCTATACATTCCTTTCTGTGTGTAAACCTGTATCTGGCCAGTTAACTCAGGGATCAAAGTACTGCTTTCCAGGACACCATGTAAAACATTTACATAGTCCCAAAGTCAAATCTATAAGATAAATTCAGAAAAATCCAGCTTCTTTTCCTGTCTCCTCTATCCTTTCCTTCTCTGCCACTAGCCTCCTGTGGTGGGTGTGGGTGTGTATTTGTATTCCCTTTTACTGTGCAAAAAGAAGTATAGTGTTTCTTTAACATTTTATCTTGAAAATCAGTTCATGGTATATAGAGTTCTCGTTCCTTTTTATAGCTGCATAGTACTCCATTGTGTGGCTGTAACAGTTTATTAATCCTCTATTGATGGACACTTAGGTTAACAGTATTTTGCTATTAAATATAGTGCTTTAATGAATAACATTGTGCATACATTTTTTTTTTTGGCCAGTGTATGGATGGCTTTTAACATTAGATGGTAATCCAGAGTCTAAGAATATAGCCATGACTAAGCACCATTAGTTCATTGCAGACACAGGATAAATTAGAAGTAGAAGCTATGATTTTCAGGTAGAAACTGAAGGCCTTATCAGGTGCCAATGACCCAGAGCTTCCACTTATCTTATCATGAAACTGCTTTGGAAAAAATAGAACCACCAGTATATAAAATGTGAACTACATTATTGCTTCAGTCAGTCTGGAACATAATCAAACAGAATTGTAAAGAAAAAAATGTAGGTCTGCTTTAAAATAATCCACTCATAAATTGGACAATTATTTCTATTTAAAGATATTATTTCATTTTACATTTATCTTTAGCAAACATTTCAGATCTGAATGGTATCTCCTTTGCTTTTATGATTTCATGACTGCCGTTTCCTCCTGGGCCTCAGATCCCTGGTGGTAACTAATGAGTATCTGCTGCAGCAGCTGAATAAAGAGCAAAAAGGTTATTCTGGGAAAGCGCTCCTGCCTCCTGAGAAGAGTCATCATTTGGGGAGCTCTTCGCCCTTTGGGAAAAGCACATTGTCTTCCTCCTCACCAGTGGCGCATGACACCAGTCAGTATCTAATACAGAGTGTCTCAGATGCGGTCCCAGAGCCTGGAGTATGGAGCTAGCATGGCACACCTGCCCTGCAGCTTCCATCTCATCCACGGAGGCTCTCAGTGCCAGCACCACCAATATGGTACCCACAAAGATTAAGAAAAAAACGTATTCTGATTATATTGTATTAGTCCTTCTTTTTATTTCTGTATTTATCTCCTCCTAGTGAGTCATTTTTTCCTTCTGTCTACAGAAAAGGTTGGCACTTAGTTCTAGGCATTGTATCACGTAGAAACCTTTGGCTGAAAATGTCGAAAAGGGAAAAAACACTGGACGTTTTCCCCAATGTCATTTGAAACTGTGTGGTAGAAGGTTAAAAAAGAACATCCATCAGGTATCATTCATGTTAGAAGAAATTTTTAGAGACTCTGTATTGATTGATTCATCAAACTTTTTTGAGTTTCCTTCTGTCGTAGTGAAAAGGATGTCTGCCCTGGAGTAGCCAACAATTTAGCCAGGGAGAAAAGCAAAAACTCATATGATGGAACTCAAAGCTTGGAATTGGTACGAAATAGGTCTAAACAAAAGCCTAAAGATGCCCCGGAGGGAGAGGGGGAGTCAGTAATGCCCACTGTGGGAAATTGGAGAAGGCTTCAATGAAGACCTTACGAGTAGAATGGTAGCACATAGAGGGGATGCAGAGCCTCCCAGGACAAGATGTAACAGTCTGGAGCCCCCAGAAGGATCATGGGGCAGGGACAGAAGTGTGGGACATGGAAGAGGTGTGATGCCAGAAAAATGTCCGCAGAGCAAGTGAACTTTCAGCTGAGACCTGGAAATGAACAGGTTACCAGGCAAAGCATAGGGCCAAGGGCAAGAGCAATAGAGAGAAGCTGCAGAGAGAAGCAGTGTATACAAAGGCCATGAAATGGGAAGGGACATGGTCCCTTGAGGGAACTGAGGGGCTGAGAGGAGGAAGCAGGAGTGAAGTTGCATGGCTCCTTGAAGATTCTACAGTGGGAGGGCAGAGGAGTGATAGATTTGTGTGAGAAGCTTTCTCTGCAAGAAGAATGGATTGACAGCAGTGCAGAGTTGGGGAGGACCAAAGGGGCACTGGACAGCCCGGAGAGGAAGCAGGAGCAGGCCAGACTAGATGCAGCTTCTGAGTGTGTTAGCTTTGGGCTTGGCATCCGAGTTACACTTGAGTACCCTGTAGTCTTTTAATCCTGATTGACTGGGCACTTTAAAAATCAATGGGGAAAGATAATGCAAGTGGTTCTAGGTATGTTTCTGCTTCAGTGGTCTCCCAGGGAGCTAATGCTGCCAGAGAGTGTGGAGGGGGTGAAGGATTGTCAACCTAATGCCACGTTGTACTTCATCTTCGGGGTCACATCAGAGAGGCAGTTGGAAAGATTAGACACGTATTTGTGCCCCTGACTCAGGTGCTGTGCAGGGACGGGGAGACATACTAATGAGACATGATGATCGCACATTTCTAAGTTATAGCATAATCCACAGACCTCTGGATTTTATGTGGCTTCCCAAAAGGAGCCTATACAGAGGAGCCATAAGTTTTTTGAGCTGCGTGGCTCTGAGGGAGCTAGAGTGAGCTCGTGCTCTGTGGAAGTGTTAGTAAGAACAGCCTCCTTGTCACCCCTGCAGCTACTTTCCTGGGCTCATCTTTGTCCCACGAAGAGACCTCCAAAGAGCCTATGCTTTGCTCAGGTAGAGGCACCTTGGCCAGTGGCCTTGCAGCCTTGAGTTGTCACATTTCAGGGTCCCAGCCCAGCACACAGGCCAGCCTACTGGACAGACCATGGGGGAGCAGGAGAAATAATACACTTCTTTCTACAACCCTAGCCCCGCTTCCTGCCTCCCCTATGAACATCTGATAACACCAGCCCCAGAATCTGCTCAACGTACCTCTAAGGAGGAACAAAGAGCCCGACCCAGACTGAGCCCACCTTCCACCCCATTTTCTATGATCACTGAAAGTGGCTGGCCCTGCCCCAGGCCAGGCACCTCACTAGGGTTGCTGGGCACTCCTGGGGAAGTTGTCTGTGTTTCTGATTTTCCTTGTGTGGCACGTGGTCCAGAGGGCAGAAGTAGGGATTGTGATATCAAGGAAAGGGCCACAGTTGTCATCTTGTGGGGCTAACTGGATTCACCATTGAGAGAGGCTTCTACTCTGAAGCAAGTAGAAAACAAGAGGAGGAGTTGCCCCAATTGTGTGATAGAGGTGGTCTCTCTGTGTTGCCCAGGCTGGATTCAAACTCCTGGGCTCAAGGCATTCTCTCGCCTCAACCTCCTGATAGCTAGGGCTACCGGCGGGCACCACTGCACCCGGTCCAGAGAGGGTTTTTAATGCCTCCATTACACAGATCCTAACCTCTCTTCCTTGCCCAGCCTGGCTTTGCTAGCAAGTGTACCCAAAGCTTTTGACCATGAGGAGGCTGTCAGGGGAGAAGCAGTGATAACGGGCAGCAGTGGCATTGCTGGGCAGGGACTGCTATGTACCAGATTCTGCCAGACCTATTTGGTCTTTAAAGGCCTTCCTGGCCCTGGGTGAGCCTTGATTTCCCTCAGGCTCTATAATAGCATTTCAGGAAAAAGAAGGGGCTTTCCTGTCAACCAGTTCTCTCTGTAGGCTCCTCCAAGCCACACTACCAGTCACAGGAACGGATGAGGTACCACTCACTTCTGCGCATTGGGCGGTACTCTCACCTGCAGTTTATTTATTTATTTATTTTTTATTTTTTTATTTTTGAGACAGAGTCTCACTGTGTTGCCCGGGCTAGAGTGCCGTGGTGTCAGCCTAGCTCACAGCAACCTCCAACTCCTGGGCTCAAGCGATCCTCCTGCCTCAGCCTCCCGAGTAGCTGGGACTACAGGCATGTGCCACCATGCCCGGCTAATTTTTTCTATATATTTTTTTAGTGGTCCAATTAATTTCTTTCTAATTTTAGTAGAGACGGGGTCTCGCTCTTGCTTAGGCTGGTTTCGAACTCCTGAGCTCAAACAATCGGCCCGCCTCGGCCTCCCAGAGAGCTAGGATTACAGGCGTGAGCCACCGCGCTCGGCCTTCACCTGCAGTTTAATTGCTGGGAGCCTGGCCCAATTTAGAATACAGTTTAATTCATTTCACTATGAGGGTGTTTTAGTAAGCGAAAGCCAGAAGGATTTGGCTTTCGCCTCCTTTATGCTCATTTAAGTAGAGCTTGCAATTCAAACAAATTCCCCGAGGCTAGAGGAATTGTTCCTCTTAATATTTGTTGGTGGAGAGGTAGAGCTCTCTCAAATGCTTCCCTGGCCAGTGCAAGGACATGTAGTGAGCCGAGTTGGGAGGAGCACACAGCTGTCAGCTGTTAGGCAAGGCTCTGCCGTGGCCAGGTGCTGGTCTGCTACCTGCTAATTCCCACCTGACCTCCCCGGCCTCCCTGGCCCAAGCCACACTATTCCTCTATATCCCCATCCCCAGGTGGTTGGGCTCAAGGGATTTGGGGCCACCTGGGGCAGGAATGTCCCAGAACTGTCTGTGGGATGAAGGAATAAACAATTGTGCTGCTTTGCCTTGCTATCTGGGTCAGGAAAGGTATCTGTGAACTCGTGCTTTTTAAGCCTTTTCTAGCACCCTTGGGAGCTGCCCTCTTCTGGGTAGGCGATAAGTCCCATCCAGGCCCCTTGTTACAGCAGAAAGGAAAGAGAGATGGCCTTAAAGCCTTGGGTTTGGGAATAGCTCTGGCCTAACACACAGAGCCTCAGCGAGGAGATAATCCGGAAATGCCCAAGAGTCCTCAGGACCAGAGGGGCCCCTGCTCTCCCCCGACCCAGGCTGTTGAACAGGTGGGGGAGAATCAGCAAGAGGAGGCCACTTCTCTATGGGACACCTTACCCCCCTGCCACAGGCTGGTGTTGGGTGCCAGGCTCTATCACTAGCCATCCAGCCCCAGTTTTGGAAATCAGTGTTGAGGCTTGCTGTGCTAGAAAGAGCCTGGCTTAGGAGGCAAGAGGCATGGTCTGGCCTCTAGTTCTGCAGAAACCCCTCCACTCTCTGGGCCTCACTTCCTCAGCTATAAAATTAAGGAGCCAGACTATCTACTCTCTAAGGTTCTTCCTGGCCCTGAATTTTCTGATATTCTGAGCTGGAGCCCAAAATGACTTGGTACCCCCTGTTAGCAGACTTAGAGCCGAGACCTGGCACCAGGGCCTCTGCCAAGGCTTGGCCCAGGCCAAGTCTGCTGTCTCATCCCTCCTGCCTCGAGGGGCCAAGTCTCCAGATGGAGGCACTAATTGCAGGAAAGCAAGCTGTGGTGTTAGGACCCTCGGTTAGGGCCGAGTTGAAAGGCTTTGGGTTTCCCTAAGGAACATCCTTGGGCAGAATGGCTTAGCTAGTCAAGGGCTTGTGTGTCCATTACTCTGGGCAGGGCTGCCAGTGGAAGGGGGAGTGATCAGCAGGGTGAGGCACACAGTGGAGTAATGACACTGAGGGGATCCCTGGGGTGTGACTGTCATTACTACCCCCATCATCATATACCCAACCAGGCCATATTGGTACAAAAGGTGTCTTTATTGAGGTCTAGGTAAGAGTTAGGCACTTGGCCAGAGCAGCAGCTTAAATATGAGGCAAGCAGGCACGGGTTAGCCATGCCCAAGGCCAGGTTGGGGCGGTGAGGCTATAGGCAGACTGTCCCCAGATGGACAGAAGTCGGGGTGGGAAGAAGAGGAGAAAGGGGACACAGAGTAGTCTGGGTCAGAGGCCTGGTGGGCTGGCCCCATGGGTCGGGGCAGGAAGCTCTGGGTGGCAGGTCCAGCAGGGAGGGGACTGGGCTCTCTTGCTCCATGTGCCCCTCAGGCCCAGGCCTGAGCCTCTGGCAGGGGCAGCCTGGCTGGGGGCCTTCCCGGCTCACTTCTTCACCTTGGCATCATAGGTGCCTGCATTCTTGTAGGCACTCACATAGCCGCTGTCGTCCAGGATGTCCTGCCGTCCAGCAATGCCCTTGCCCTTGCCGCTCTCGTCAAAGCGCTCCTTGTGGGAACCGGTGTACTTGCTGGTGTCAGTAAGCCGCTCCACAGCACCCCCTGTTTTCGCCTTCTGTTTGGATAGAGTTCCCCTAGGCTCACCTGGTGAGGGAGCCCATCCCTTCCCAACCACAGCCAACATCCCCCCCAACCCAGTGGCCACTCAAGATCATCAGGGCACTTACAGTGACGCCCACGTTGGCTGGTTCCTTGCCTGCCACCAGCTGGCAGATGGCATCAAAGGCCTCCTCCTTGCTCTTCCCCTTGAATCGCTTGGTTGCCAGCTCTTCCAGGGCCTTCTTGAACTCCTCATAGTTGATGACCCGAGCAGACTTCCCCCTGTCAGGCATGTGGGCACCGTGAGTGTTCCCTGTTCTTCAGTTCTTTGAGCACCACCCCCCACCCTGAGGAAGGCAAAAATGCAGTCTCCAACCACCATAAATTATGCAATCAAGTTTCTTTCCCACATTTGGGGAAATCAAAGGGGTCAGCACATCTGGAATGCAATAGATAAACCTTGCCCTGGAAAAACTACCTTCATGATCATGGTATTTCTCTGCCCCCTTCTTGAGGTCCTCCCTGGTTCCAGCCCCACTCCCCATTCCCCACCTTCTGGGAACATGAGAAGTAAGGGCTGCCTGGGGCTCACTTGACTTTGGAGAAGACGATGTCGACATCAGTCCCTGTCACGGCCTTTCCATCAGCCACCTTGCAGTCCTTGCACAGCTTGGCCCAGTTCTTGCCATTCATCTCTTGCCCACTGGCCTTGGGGTCGCCATGGATGGCAAACTTGCGGAAGCTCTCCTCCAGGCCAGCTACGTCTGTGCTTGCTGCCATGCCACCCTGTAGGGACCCACCTTGGTCACCTCCTAGTCAAGCTGCCCCATCCTCCCCCAGGCATAGAACATCCCTGCCTCTATCTCAAAACCTGCAAGGTCTGAGCTGGCAGCACTTCTGCTACAGACGGAGTTGGAGTTGGAGCTATCTGGGGAGAGGGGCCCATGCTCAGTGTTTCCTGGGCCCCAGAGCCCTAAGGAAGAGCCTGGAGAGGAAAGGTCCTGTCACTAATGCCAGCCCTGGCTCTGTGTAGGGTACGGCAGATGAAATCATGATGCCCACACCAGGCTGGGAACAGAGTGGCACTGTCCAGAAAGACTGTGAGGGCAGCAGCTGGGGCCATGGCTTTGTCTGGCCCTGGCACAAGGCCTGCTTGGGTGGAAGTGAGGGTGGCAGAGAGGGCCCCCTCCCTGGAAGCTCCACGCCAAGCTGGGTCAGGGCCAGGCCAGGCTGCTGGTTGGGCAGGTATTTAGTGAGGACAGTGCCTCTGTAGCAAGAGCCAGCCCAGGCCTAAGAAGGGAGCCAGAGCATGGGTAGGGGTGCGTGCCCTAGGCAGGGGTGCAGCTGGCCCAGCCGGGCCTTGTTACTATTTGCTGTTAAACAAAAACATGAGGGGAGCGGGAGCTTGGGGCTGGCCTGGCCACAGTTTGTGAAGCCTGGAGACAGTTGCTAAGGGAGGGTGGTGCTGCTTAGAGAATGTTGCTAAGGGCAGGATGGTGTCAGGGCGGCTCAGGGAGAAGCTCCCAGTGCTGCTGGGCTGGGCTGGGCTGGGGAACAGGGGCCCACGGGTGGGGCACACCAGCACTCCCCGCGCCTGGGGCACAACAGTGGCTTCCTGGCCCCTTGCCACGTTGGAGCTGTAACCTCCCACTGTGAGGCATAGGAGAGCAGGAGGTTGGGGGCTAGCCTGAGTGGGGGCTGTAGAGTTACCAGCCCCAAGAGACATGCTGGCAAGTGGGGCTGTGGCCTTGGCGCTGGGATCCTACAATGGAGCACACTTCCCCATGCCTACACCTCAGCCCTCCGCTGAGGCCCCCGAGCCACACCCTGAGCACGGCCACACCAGTCCACATTCCCAGGGCCCATATGCACTCAGCCCCAGCCCTCCACACCCTGGGCCTTGTACCCCGGCCACACCCTCAGCCCTGCTGCAGCCCTAGGGCTGAAGCCCTGACCGCTCCTCCAGCGTCCACCCCCCACACATGCACTAACAGGCCTGCACTGAAAACCCCAGCGACACCCTCATCCCTGCACTAAAGTGTCCCCCACAGCCCTCTACCGTGGTCCCCTGCCCACACCTTCAGCCCTGCACTGAAACTCCCTCCACATAACACAGCCCTGTATGTGGCCTCCCCGACCACACCCTCAGCCCTGCACTGCAGCCCCCTCTGTCCCCACACCTGCAACCCTTACCAAGACCCCTGGCCACAGCCTCAGCAACTTGCCCCTCCATGTACCCACAGCCCTTTTTCAAGGCCCCCTGACCACACCCTCCTCACTGCTGCATCCACACACCCACAGCCTTCTGACCATTTAGCCCCACACTGCAGCCCTGTCAGTGTCCACACCCACACACCGCCACACGCTGCCATTACCGGGCTCCCAGGTACTATGCTGAGACACGCCCCACCGCACCCCCTCCTCCACTGCAGCCTTCTGCTCACACCCTCAGTCTCAGCAACCACCTTCTAGCTCTGCCTTTTATACTAGAATCTCCGCTGACCACAGCCTGGGCCCTGCCTGGCTCCCCCCTCTTCTACTACCACTGGCCTTGACAATGAAAAATTCCTCCCCAGTGACCACATTCACCCATCCCTAAGTTGCAGTTTCTAGGACCGTGAGCACCCATAGCTCCCATGTTACAGGGACCTCTGCGGGACCACAACCTCAGTTCACAGTGCTCTACCCTACGTGCAACCTCCCACCACGGACCCGAAGACCCGGTGGGACCCAAAGACCCGGACTTGGTTCACCAAGGGTAATGTCCAGGGGAGCCTGGGTGTAACAGGATGCTTGTCGCAAGCAACTGGAAGGATCCCGCTTCCAGTGCCCGCTCAGTCTGTAGGAAGATGGATTGCTGGTAATCTCAGGGCTGATCAGGTGGAGCCAGGCCTCAGGCCGCAGCCCCAGGGGTCTGCGGGCCAAGGATGGAGTGGCCACGCCCATGAGCTGGGGCCATCGGCCCCGCGCTCCCGCTGGGACAGCTGGAGTCATCAATCAGCCGGACTAGGAGGTGGGGGTTGGGGGGTGGAATGCCTGGGGCCAGGGCAGGGCAGCTCAGCTGGTGCATTCGGGGTTGGAACCCCTTCCAGGCCGCTCCTCCCACCCCCTTATCGTGCAGGATACTCATTAGGGTGGTGGTGTCCTGTTCTCCTACGGGTTTCTACCTCGTGGCTGCTCCTGCAGGGCGCGTTCGGATGGACAGAAGGACACAGGAATGGACCGATGGACGCGGGAGACCAGGCGACTCCGCGGCTCCGCTCCCTGCCGGCTCCCAGGCGGGACTGCAGCCCGGGCGGCTCCGCTGTATTATCCCCTGTTTCTCGGTCTCCATAGAGACGGTGAGTCCCACCCCCGAGGCTGTCTCGACGGGAGAATGACCAAGGTCACGCTGGCCCCGCCCACCAGACCCCGCCCTCTCAGCACTCCGTGGGGGCGGAGCTGCAGCGACAGCTTTATCCCACCCCTCCCCCGCAGCTCCGGGGTCTTCGCGGCGGCGGGACCAGCCCTCTGCAATTCTGGACGTTCTCCGATGGCCCCCGACGGGAAAACAGCCCCCCATCCTGGGCTCTGTCCAAAGATCAAAGCGGGCCCTCAATCTCCAAGGGAGATCCAGCTTCTCTGAGCGCCAACCAGAGACTGTTTGGGAGCTGGAGCAGGGGGATGGAGAGGGACGGAAAAGTCCCTTTCCTCCGTGACAGGGGTCAACAGTTGGCTCAAGACCACAGCTATCCACTGAACTTGTGGCATCCCCAGGCCACAACTTCCGAGTTCTCCCGGGTAGGGTCCACAGGCCGGAGCACTGGGGAAAGAGGGGATAATAAGTGAATCAGGCATGCCCGGCCCTGGAATGCTGGTACTCCGACGGCGATCCCGCTGCGGAGAAAAAAATTCCTGGACCTCCGGGGTCGCCCCCTCCTTTCATTGCCACCTCTACTCGTTCTCAGCCTCGTAGCCTCTGCTACCGCTGCTGCCTCCAGAGCCCAAAGCCTGCTTTTCCTCAGTCTCTACGTGCAAAGCCTATGTTTAAGAAAAATGGCCTCCTCCAGGCAGGCTTCCAAGCCCTTTCCTAACCATGAGCCCGGTACCTGAGCGCCTCGGGTCCCTCCCTACCCCCTTATCTCCATATGACACCAACTGTACAAGGCCCCACCCACCCCCGCCCCCAGGCTGACTCGCAGTGGTCTGGCTCCCCAAGGGCCCATGGACCCTGCCATTGAGAAAGTAAACACCAAGTCCGCAAAAGCATAAAAAAGTTTATTGGAGCATCTTGGCCGGTGGGGCGGGTATTGCTGAATCGAGGGGGAGGGAGGCCGATCCCGCCGGCCGTAGGGGCCCCTAAAGTGCACTCGGTGCGGCGAGGGTGGGGTGTTGCATAGAGAGTCGGGCCGGCCGCTCCTCTTCGGCCCTCCTGCCTCTTGGCCCAGCTAAGCCAGGCGGGCCTCCCGGCCGCCCCGCGCTCCGGGCTCGCCGCTGCTCCGGCTCACGAAAACGGCGGGCGCACGCGCCTGCAGCGCCAGCCCCGGCTCCCGGCCCTTGCCCCCCGGGGCGCCCAGAGCGGCGCTGCCCAGGCGCGTCTGCGCCACTGGAATCTCGTCCATGGACTCGGCTGACGCCGAGTGGTAGGCGCCGGCACGGCCAGCGGAGTGCACCGGGCTGGCGCCTTCGGAATCCGTCGACGAGCTGGAGCTGTGGCCGGGGCCTCCGGGCTCTGTGCACAGGAGGGCATCGTGAGACCAGGGGCTCTGCTTTTCCCTCCCTCGGAGTTCCCTGAGCAAGACCCGGACAGGAAGGGGCGCTCACCCCGCAGCCTGGGCAGCGGGGACACCCGGTCCAAGGTCTCAGCTCTCGGAACCTTATACACGCGCAGCTTCCTCTTTTTCTGCAGAGACATAGGGGAAACTGAGGCCCCCACATCGCCAAAGAAGCAGCGGTGTGTGGCAGAACAGAGGCTTCTTTCCACCGCCCTCCAACTAGACAGGGGCCCAGCACAGTCCCTTCTACCTGGGGTCGGATCTCGGGAGGCAGGGCGACAGTGTCTGGGGAGGAGGGCGGTGGAGGCTCCCCTTGGCCGCTGGTAGCAAGAAGCTGGGAGGGTCTGAGGGGAAAGCAGGAGGGTCGGCCTGAGCACTGCTTAGCAAACCCTCAGGCAGGAGGTCGCAACAAGAGCCTCCCTCCCTAACAGAGAGGGGCATTCATCTATCCAAGGCCAGGCTGGGATGGACCCGGACCCCATGCCTTGGTCTTGACCTACCCCTTTCCTCCCACCTGGGATGGACTGCCATGCTAATGGGAGGTGCCCAGCTGGCCCAGGTCCAACTCACTTGGCATTCACTGCTGCTGGCCTGGTCTGGCCGGGGGGCTCTGGGCGCACATGGCTGAAGGTCCGCATGTACAACTCCGTCTCCTGGGGAAGGTGGGGGTCAGGGACGCTGGGAGACCAGGTGTAGATCCAGGGCCTCCTGAGTCCTGAGCTCACCTAGTCCTGAATACAACCCACCCTCACTGGCCTCTGTGGGACAGTGCAGACTTCACCCCAGGAGTCTAGGGCTGTCCTAGTTCCCAGCTGTGCTGGGAAAACCCTCTGCAGGGTGAGGCTTAAAACACCCATTTCTGGACCTTACCCCGTCCCCCACCAGGTCCTCACTTCATCTAGTAAAACTCCACCTCCTCCAGGAAGGCTCCAGCCCCATGAGTCTATACGCCCAGTCTAGAGGTGTTCAGCCAAGCAGGGCGGTGGGGAAGCTCAGGGATGCCGTCTCCTGCTCCTGCCCCTCTCAGGGCTCCAGCCTATGAATCGGTTTTTTCCCTGAGAGCCGAGAGAGCAGTTCACAGGCGAGATTGCACGCACGGCTTCCTGGCTCCCAAGGAGCTGAATCCTGGGCACGCCCTCCTCACCTTCACAGAGCGCCAGCCACAATCCTGGCAGCTGAGAAGGTGGGGGTGGGGTGGGGGGTACGGTCTCCCCTGCCCACACGCCCCCAGCCCGAAAGGAAAGGCAGTGGGTGGTGGAAGGAACTGAAATCTGGGACCAGGCTTATGGGTGAACTGTGACTTGCTTAGTCACTGATTCTCACTGCAACCCTGGGGGTGGCAGAAGAGACCCCCAAAAGTGAAGGGCCTTGAGGCGAGGAGGTCGCAGGAGCGGCCTAGGCCTGCATCCTAGCATGCAGGACGCACCCCGGCCCCACCCGAGAAGGCTGCAGGTGAGGAAACAAAAGCCAAGGCAGAGCCAGCCTGGGAAGGGCGGAGGGCGTGGTGTGGGATGCGGGTGGGGCAGAGCCTGGAGCGGGGAGCACCCGGACAGCTGTCACCGGGCTCCAGCAGCAGTTTCCATGGAGACTGAGGCGTCCTGACTAATGCAGAGACGACACTGTAACAGCAAACACGTCTCTAAAACAAGCCCGTGTTTGGGGGCAACGGCTCCAGAGAGGGGCCCCTCCCGCATTCCTGCTTGGGTTGGGGGTGGGGCAGCTGCCCGCAGGGGCCCTGGCAGATCTAGGGGACAGAGCCCAGCCAGCCACCCCTGCCCAAACTCTGCCCAGGCTGACCCTTTGGGGAGGAGTATGGAAGTGCTGGCCTGAGTAGGGGAGCCCAGGGTCAGGGGTCTCAGGCCAATCACAGGGACTGGGACCTCAAGGTAACCCTGTCCCACATCTTTTCCCTTCCCCAGTGTGGACTCGGTACCCCTCCAGGGTCCAGCAGAGGGGCAAAGCCTACTCTGGGGGCCCTGGGCTCTGGAGGGGGGGACAGAGTAGGGGCCAGCAGTATACGATGGTCCCAGAAGACTGAAGGGCCACCGTGGGACAGGAGCCAGGCCCTAGCCAGCTGGGGAAGTCTCAGTGTCACCAGGCAGTCCTCACTCAGGCCCCCCTCCTCTCATCAGAGCTGTCCCTAGGATCCTTCCATAGAGACCTTCAAAAATGTGCACATTCCTGAATGGTGCAGGGGCACCTCTCAGCCTCCGCTCTCTCCTCTGTAAAGAGGGATAGGCATACCACTCCTACCCCAGGTAGGCCTCCCTCGCATCACTTGTAGATGGACAGAATAGAAATTAAATGTCCTTGCTGCTGCCACATTTGGCCCCAAAGACTAAGCAGAGCAGAGGCACAGAGCCCTGGAGTCTGGACATCCCAGGGCCAGCCCTGCGTCAGTGGGCGCCAGCTACCAATCTCCTGCCTGCTTCTCCTGCTTCAGTCCTCTCTGTGATCATGTCCGCTCCCCAGGATGGCTGCCACTGTGTTCACACAGGCCAGTGCCCAGCACCAGGGCAGGTACGCAGTGGTGTGGCAGAGGGGTCTCCACCAACAGCCAGCACGCCCCAGGCCCAGGCCTGCCTAGTCTTGACAGCCTGGCCCATGTGCAAGGTCCAGCCCTGGTGATGAAAACAGAAGAGGTCCCGAGCCCTCCCCGAACCCGCCCACCAGCCTTTGTTTGTGTCCAGTTGCCATGAGGATTCAGGATCTAGGGCTCAGCCTTCCCAGTCCCTAGGGGCTCTGAGGACTGGACCACCCCACCCCCAACTGCTGACCTCAGGAAGCCACAGGGCGTGGGAATGGGGGTGGGCTGGTCAGCAGCTGGGCTGACCGGGCTGAAGGGCTCCTGCTTCAGGGTGGGGAGACCTGAACTCTCCCAGACCCAGCTTCTATTTAACCTTTCTCGGCCTCAGTATGCTCATCTGCAACATGGGTGTGGTAACACTACCTGCCTTATGGGCTGTTCTAAGGATAAAACAGGATAATGGGTATGAGGGCTCAAGGTCACAGATGGAAAGAACTGATGGCTCCATCCTGGCCACTGTCCCAGTCCTGGCTGCAGTCCCGGTCACTGGTCCATCCCTCTCTCTTCTCCTGCAGCCCCAAGCTGCCTGCTTCCAGAATCCCATGTTCCACGCCCTCCAGCACGTGCTTGGAGCCTGGACAGGCGTGTACCTGGGGTCGGGGGAAATGCAGAGCTCCCTCTGGCTGCGCCCGCACTTGAGCAAGCGGGCACGTGCTCAGTACAGACTTGGCCCCAGCTGCCCCCAGCACCCCTCCTCCAGTGGCAATTCCAGGCTGGCTTCCCATGCCCTGCTTCCTCACTGCTGCTCCCTGCACAGCCCCTACGCCCCAGCCCCATTTCCCACCCCTCAGCCCTCTGGGCCACCTCTATACCTGAATGGGCCGCATCTTGGGGGGGCATGACTCGAGCTCCCTGTGGGCCCCCTTTGCCTCCTGTGGTGGGCGGTGCTGCACGATGTACTCATAGGTGGTGAGCTTGTGCCACACTGGGGGGTGGGAGGGAGAAGAGGGCTCAGTGCAGGGGAGAGCGGACCCTGGGGGAAGGAGGGCACCCAGCCCCAGGCTGAAGTCAGTGTCCCCAAATACACTAAGTCCTGGGGTGAGACCAGGCCATCACAGAGAGACAGCAGTGGGAAGGGCCATGGTTTCAGGGCTCTACAGCCCAACTAGGTGCCTCCCTGCAGCCTAGGGACCTCTATCCCCTGCAAGGCACAGCCGGGGGCACTTACTGAGATAAATGTGGAAGCAGAGCAGGTGGCCGAGCAGGGCTGTGGAGAGCAGGCCCAGGAGGATGAGGAGGGCAGCCAGGGCCAGGATGGCAGGAGCCTGGGTCTCCACAGGGGCGGCAGGCAGGAACACGAACCACACATCTGTGTGATTCTTCAGGACTGCAAGGCACAGGCAGAGTGTGACCAGCCAGGGCTGTGACCAGTGACCAGAACAGGCCCAGTGTCAGAGGGTAGGAATGGAGCCCAAACTGACCTTCAAAGTGTCGGTTGGTGCGCAGCCTCATGGGGTTGACAAAGAACTCCACGAAAACATAAGCGGCCACCAGCACCAGGAGCAGGACACCCAGTAAAGCAGATGCGACACTGTGTAGAAAGAGCCTGGGCCCAACCATGGGCAGCTGTCAGCCCATGGGTGCTCCAGCTTGGTAAGGGCCATAGCCGGGAGGGGAGCTGGGCCTCTACCCACAGCCCCAACTCCTCAAAAGCCAAAGGCAGGAGGCAAACTGAAGACGGGGGGCCACCCGATCAGGTGCCCACCGTTCTCTGGGCAAGCAAGGTGGAGGACCCCAAACCCACCCTCAGCCGTCCCAGCCAGCACCCCAAGAGCATCACTGTCTCAGAGCAACACCCCAGGGGCCAGCGCACAGGTCCTCAAGCACCCCAGCCTGGCGCCGCCTTCCACGCGGGCTGCAAGGGCCCTGGCCCCCGCCCTCAGGCACGTGACCCCAGGACCCCGTGCGGCCCGGCCCCGCTCTCACCGGTAGTTCCTCTCGCCCACGCAGTTGTTGAGCCATTTGCAGTGGTGGTCGAAGCCGCACACGCACTTGTTGCAGGCGCTGCAGTGCTTGGAGCGGGCGCTCCTGCGGGCGAGGGGCACAGCGTGGTCGGCGGGCGCCTCCGCCACACCAAGGAGCGCGTGCGCCCCCTGCAGGCATTGCGGGGTGGGACCCCTGGAGGAAGCGGCGCTTCCGAAGAGCTGGGGGACCCGGAGGAGGAGGGAGGTGCACTGTGCTGTCCTGCTCTGGGACTGCACACCTAGGTGATGGTGGTATGAAACGGAAAAGGGGCTTCCTTCCCAAGCAAGGACCCCTGCGACAAGCCAGAAGATGCAGGTATGGGGCCAGGGAGCAGGAGAGCAAGGTTGCCTGGACCATGGACTGCATTGCTCTTCCTGACATCTCCATTTCTGGGTCCCTGTTTCCCTGCCATTCTATGGAATTTTCGGGGCATTATTCCATAAAACATTCTGTGTGGGCTAATCAACAGGGAGCCACAGACGAGAAGCAAGCTGCCATCTGGGTGGGCACTAAGGCAGCTGGCTGCAGGGGGCCAGCTGAGGGGCGGCCACACTAAGACACAAGTGAGAATCTCCCAACAGGGAAGGCCCAAAGGAGTGTGGGAGAGTGGGGCACGACCCCCTCCCCAGAAAAGGACAGAGTCCTGCAATGGGCACCAACCGCCAGAGCAGCCACCCAGAGACAGCACGCTGACTGGCACCTAGAGAATGGCAGGATGGCCGCATGCCCAAGTCCTTAGTGCCTTAACACTGTGGGCTTTCTAATTCCTGTGGACAGACCCCCTTCCACAGGCTGCCCGGGTCTTCAGATTAGAAGCGTGGCTCTGGTCTTGGACCACACCCCCATCCCTGCTCTCCCACCTGAGGCCGGGAGACTGGGAAGCTCCAGAGGGTCGGGAGGGCCCCCACAGAGGCAGTTGGGACCAGCCAAGCAGGTATGGGTGCTCCACATTCTGACTCCTCTCCTCAATAGCCGTGTGACCTGGGGCAAGTCACTTGGCCTCTTTTGGCCTCAGATGGCTCGTGAGTGAATGAGGCAGATGGTGTCTGCTTAGGGGCCAGGCAGCCCGGGCTGTGAATCTGGCTCTGGTGTCAGTAGCTGTGCAGGACTTCAGGCAGGCTTCTCAGCCTTTCTGAACGATGGGCTCTTCCTCCTCTGTGAAGTGGGAAGACGCTGCCCACCTTGCAGGAAGGCTGTGCACACTGCTTAGCATATGGTAGGTACGTACGCGTTAACTCTCCTCCCCACCCCAGGTGGGAATGCTTGTGAGAGACAGGGATGCCATTGGAAGAGTTAGTTCCTAGAAATGTTTGTGGCAGTGCCAAATGTTTTCTACTCTACCTGTTGGAATGCTATTCCTCATCTTCTGTTTCCAATCACCCAATCACCTCCTTCTCCTCACCTTCTCAAGGACCCAATTATCTGCCACTCCAACAGACTCTTTGTTTTTTTTTTTTTTTTAGACAGGGTTTCTCTCTGTTTCCTGGGCTAGAGTGCAGTGGCACCATTACCACAGCCTTGACCTCCAGGGCTCAAGTGATTCTCGTGCTTTAGCCTCCCGAGTAGCTGGGATTACAGGTTGTGTGCCACCATGCCAGGCTAATTTTTTCTTTTGGTACAAACGAGGTCTCACTATGTTGCTTAGGCTGGTCTTGAACTCCTGGCCTCAAGTGATCCTCCTATCTCAGCCTTACAAAGTGCTAGGATTACAGTCGTGAGCCACCATATCTGGCCAAGATTCTTAACTGCATAAAACACTAGGGTTCTGAAGCATCGGGATAACTGTGAAGCTCTAGCACGCCCCTCTCTGCCCTGCACCCCACCGCTCGCCATCCCCAGGCATACTCGGCACCCAAACGTACCCACACGCACACACTCGCACGCACTCACACATCCACATCGCACAAGTTGCAGTGCAGGTCTTCAATGACGTGGGCGTGTTGGCTGCGGTTGAAGATGGGTAGGGGCCCTGCGTAGCTCTTGTCCCGAACGTTGGCATCTGCTGGATCGATGGAGACGGCGGTCAGGTGCACCACGAGGTGGCCAGCAAAGATGGCGCCCATGCACTGGCCCAGCAGGTTAAAGATTCACTTTACACTCTGCTGGCTGGGAACCACGCCCCACTCCCTGTGGCCAGGGAACTTCCCCACCTCCATGCCAACTCCACTTGAGCAGAGATTCTCTGCCTATGCCACCTCCCACCTCCAGCCCCCACCAGAGCCTCCTCATCAGACCTCTGCAGTGGACCCCTGTGCTCCCAAATGGAAGAGATGGGCCATCTGGTAATGGAGCCCACAGCCAACACTGCCTGCTGCTGCCACCTAGAGGCCCAAGCACAGGGCCCTGGCCTCACTGCTCCAGGCCCAGCACAGGCCCTGGCTGGTCTGACCTTAAGCCAGTTTCTGGTTACAGATTCCAAATGGTGATGTGAGACTGACAGAGACCATCCCCTAAGGTCCAGGGACCTAAAGTTTCAGTTGTGAGTTTGCTTATATTGCTTTCACAGGAAGTCGGCTCTGGGAGGGATGCAGCCATCCCCTTCCAGCAGCCAGGCCAGATAAAGAATCCCTTGCTGACAGGGGCTTATATACTCACTGCCTCCCTCACCTGGAGTCCAGGCACCTGGAGCCCAGGGGTGAATGTCTGGGATGGCCTGCCATGCCAGGGCAGCATGGCTAATTCCTGGAGCTGAAACGCAGCTCTTCCAGGGCCTATCTGCTCAGTGATTGGGCCAAATGCAGGAGACGAGTATTCTGACAACTTGCTGCAAGGTCTGCACGTGTAAAAACTCACCAGCAGATTCCACCCAGGCGGCCATCCACCCTCCTTCCCTCCCTCCACCTGCCTCCCCCCACCATCTTCCACACGTGCCCTTGCCAGCCGGGCAGAAGTCATCTCTCCATCCTCCATCCTTCACCCATCCGCTGTCCAACCTCCTTTCCTCCCTTCCGCCTCCTCCCAGCAGCCAAATTTCTCCACATGTCTGCATGAGCCAGGTTCTGCCCTGATGTGCCTCACCACAGCTGAGATGATCCCATGGCTGTCACTGACCTCTGTCTGTATGGCCACTGCTGCGGTCAGTTCTTCATCTCTTGCCTGGGCCACTCCATAGTCTCCTGACCTGTGTTCCCTTAAGTCTACCTTTCACATGGTCACAAAGTGAGCTTTTTAAAAGCTTAAATCTAAAGCCCTCCCTGTCTAAACCCTACAATGGCTCTCAATGGCTCTCCAGCTGAAGTTCACTCCTCAGCCCAGGGCCATGGCCTCTTTTGTTCTGGCTCTTCCCAAACCTCTGGTACCGCCAGCTACTGAGCCTCCCCATTCCAGCCCCTCTCCAGACACACGGAATGAGAGCAAACACTGAGCTTCCCGCCTACTCTGCACTTCTCTGGCTCCACCCCTGGTTCGTTCATTTAGCTGTTTACTGAGGTCTTTCTCTGGGCCAGACACTGAGGGATATGGCAGGGGCAAGACAGACTTGTCCCTAGCCCTGAGGAGACAACAGTCTGGTGGAAAACAAAGATATTGATGAAATAATGGGATAATTAATTAATACCATGAAGAAAGTCCATGGGACTATACTATGCAGTTTGTAACCAAGTGACCTCGTCTAGTCTGAAGAGGGCTCCAGAAGGCCTCACTGAGGAAGCAGCACCTCAGCTGAGGCTTGCAGAAGGGACAATGGGGACCTGGCAGGTAAAGAAAAGAGGAAAGAGAGCCTGCCTGGGGACTGTGCCAGCCAGAGGTGTGGCTGGAGTGTGGCTCCAGCTCATGGCTGCCATGCAAGAATGAGGGCCCACGTTGCCAAATTCTAGTTTCTCAAAGGAACCAGAAATCTGGGTTTTTATGTGAGATCTCTCAATGTTTAAATGTTAAGGAAATAATTTTTAAAACACACCTACAGAAGGAACACAAGATCTGCACATTTTGTATGATAATTATATCTCAATTTTTGGAAAATCTGCAGGCCAGATTAGCCCATGGGCTGCCAGTTCTTGACCTGTGACTCCGCTGGGTGTTGGGGGCAGGGAGAGAGGCAAGGGGCCTCCAGACAGACACCAGTGTTGGTGAAACAGAGAACAGGGAGCACAGTACCAGAGGAAACTCGAGAGGCGGACAAGGTCCACAACATGGAGAGTCTTGAAGGCCATGGAAAGATCTTGAACCTAATCCCTTTAGGCAGGAAGAAGCCACCAGAGGCTCTGAGCTGGGGAGCAAGAGCCCAGGGCTGTGCAGCCCGCAGCACGCTCACGTTCGTGGTGTATATGCTCTGGTGCTCACACATTCTAACGTGCTCCTCGCCCTCTCGCCCCGGGAGGCAGACAGGCCCCTTCCTGTCAGGCAGAGGAGGAGGCTGAGACCCAGAGAGCAGGCAGAAGCCACTCAGCCCTGTGCAGCCCTGAAGGTGCTAATCAGGGACCAGGGTCTTCAAGCTCACCCCTGCCAACCACCCTTAGGCGGCTCTTGCCACCTCCCCCCAGGAATCACCTCTGAAGTGTACACACCGGGACACTCTCACAGGAGCTCTCTCAGGACACTCTCACAGGGGCGCCTCTATCCCCTGGCCTTGCCGCCACGTCCTCTGCTCCTGGGGGCTGTGGCCAGGGCTGGGGCAATCACACCACTGGCCTCAGGCAAGTCCATGTCCGTAGCTGTTCACAGGAACCTTCGGGGCATCTCTATCCTCCCTCTTGTCACATTCAATCTCATCCTGAAAGGGTCTGCTTTACAAAACCAATGAGCTCATAAACAGTCCTGGGCACAGCATAATAATCTGTCTGTAAAGAAAAACCACATTTTAAATGTACCAGAAACTTACTACGTAAAAGAATTCTACCGTGACTCTTTCTGAAAAGTGAAAAATTCTTTCGTAAATGGAATAATCATTCCCTAATTTGTTCTTTGTTTAGCTCTGAACACAATTAGCCTAAAGATGGTTCTAAGGCTGTCTCTGTGATCACTCCTGCGGGACCTCAGTGGATAAGATTCACATCTGTGCGGGGCTTTAAATGCTCCAAGGTACTTTAGGTCTGTCCATTCACCCTGTCAGGTGGAGGCGCCAGAAGGAGGCTGGAGGCCGGGCAGGTGGGCAGCTGGTCCCTGGGACTAGGCCCACCCTGCTGTGCCCCACCTGTGGTCCCTGAGGCTCTGAGCCCAGCTGCAGGCCTCTGCCATGTCTGTCCACGCACTTCCCCGCACCAGCCCCACACTTTCCCAAGGATACAGCGTAGCCAGCAGGCACCCAGTGGTGAGGCAGGAGGGGAACAAGGATCCCAAAGCCGATCACAGCGAAGAAGAGGTACAGCAGCCAGGCCACAATCTGGAGCGGGTGAGGGGGCCAGCTCCACCCATTGCGGCGGGATCGCTGGCCTGGCAGCTCCAGGGAGGGTCCTCTGGCCTGCACGGGCGCCGTCCACACACTCTTCTCAGGAGCCGTCTTGTTGGAGGGCTTGTTGCAGATGTTCATCTCCAGAGGAAGAAAGCAGCAACAGCATTGTCTGGAGGAGGCCCTGCTAGAGCCCAGGGCCCCACTGCAGCCAGGTTTTAGCATGGGGGTGGCAGGCTGGGACCTGAAGCCACCACCCAGCTACTCTGCAGGGGAACCTGGGGTTCTAGCATGAGGGAGACGGGCAGTGGGGGAGGGTGGGAGTGGGGTGCTATCTCAAAGCCCCAGAGCAAATTCTGGCCCCAGTCTGGCCAGGACAAAGTAGGAGGGCCCAGGGTTTATTCAGGACACAGTGTGGCTGCCTGTTACTCAAAGTGCTCTGTCTCTACAGCCATCAGAGTTAAACCCAATAAGACATGTTCTCATCTGGTAACAATATCAGGCTGGGGCCAGAGCGATGAGAACACATGCTGATTCTGTCAGGATTAGTCACCTCTGTCCTGAGGTCCAAATGCAAGTGTCACAGACGGCCCCCATATCGTATGCTAAGGGAAACAGGAAGTGGGGGTGCTCAGAAAGGGGTATGCCTCTGCCCCTCAGCAGACACAGAATCCCTTCAGGGCTGGGGGTCCCTGAACCTCTGCCCCACGCTGCAGAAGGGCTCCTTGGGGCTTCCTGGCTGGGGAGGAGCCAACACACATGAGAGGGAAAGATTACTCCTTGCTTCCCTCCAGCAGCAGAAAGGACCACAGCTCTCTAAGTAAACCTGGGCCTGTGCACAGATTTACCTGGAAAGGTGGGCTGATGCCCTCTGACCGACTTGATGGAGGTCAGGGCAAGGCCAGGCCTCGGTCAGAGCCAGATCACCAGATGGCAACAACCCCCATTCCACTCGGCCCCCTTTAGCCCAATAGCTGGCCTGGTGGCCAAAGATAAATGCAGGGCAGGACAAGGTGGGCTTGTTGTAACAGGAGGGAGACCCCCCCCCAGTATCATCTGGGCCTAAGACAGGACTGCAGCTGAGGCAGGCAGTGCCACACCTACGGAGACACTTGGTGGGAAGGCCAGGAGCTGGGACAAAATCCTGGTAGCTGGACTTTCCTTTCAGGAGCCCCTGGGCCAGGGAACGTGACTAAGCAAAAATGGTGTGGCAGACACCCCCCTCAGCACACCTGCCTGTAACGCCCTTCGCACTTCTCAGCCCAACGAAATGAGACTTGATCATCAGAGCCAACCGCTAGAGTCCCCACATCCAGGAAGCTTTCCCCAATATCCCAAGTGGAGTCAGGGGGCCCTCATGCTCAGTCCTATTGGGCAAGTCACTTTGTCATTTGGAACACTTGGCCATCCCTATGTCCACCCCCCTGTTATGACAGCTTCCCTCAAAGGCAGCAAATGTGTTGTGATTCATTCTCCTCTGACCTCCACATACCCTCCCCCAAGCACCCAGAATTGTACCTTGTACATAGTAGATGCTCAGTAAACATTTGCTGACTTGAAAACATCTGAAATAAAAGGAAATGTGGGCACAGTAATGGAGCAGAATCTTGGCCCTACTCACCCTACCTTCAGTGCTCCCAGCCTGTCCCTCGCCTGCACAGCCATCACGCACTCACCCCTCCCTGAGCCCAGCTCCCTGTGATGACTGGCTGTCACCCTGACTGCTGGACAGTCACTCTTAGCTACTCTGTCTTTCAGGCCACCAGAGGCTCAGAGGCTCCTGCAAGCCAAGCTTGGCATTGAAGTCACCTCTGAGTAGTCTCATCTCAAAGCTAAACTGAGTGATCTTAGTTTTCTCCCAGGGATTCAATTGGAATCCTTTGGTCACTTACCTTGTCTTCAATAAGATGCCACAAAAGGAACAAAAAAAAAAAAACACCAGCTTTGGAGGTTACAGATGTAGGTTTAGTTCTTAGTTCTGCACTTTCTAGCTGAGTGGCCTGAGTTTCCTCATCTGAAAACTGGGGGTGGGGATGCCTCCCTAGGGCGGCATATAGATCAGCAACACTGTGGGTAAATCCTACAGTGACACAGAAAAAACACTCACTATGTGCTAGATGTTGTCGTTACCCTCTACTAGCTCTCTGGTTTGTCTTCAGATCTTCTGACTGAAGCTACTTCATCTGATAGTCTCCGAGGTTTATGCTCAAAGTGATGGGGTTGGCCACAGTTGCTTTCTTAATTCAGTGGCCCTAAGGAACACACTACCATAAGAGCTAAGCCATTGGATTGTCATTCTAATCTTGTCACCTCTGATCAAAGGTGACAAAGGTGGTCGATGAGCTGGCATCACTTGCTTTTGAATGTCCCCAGAGGTAGCAAATCTTTGTCCTTGATTTTTGGAAGCAGTAAAAGGTCATTAGGTCAAGCCCTGTGAATACAGTCTGGCTGTGTGGTTCTGCTCTGGGGCACATCCCTGGAGCTGAGCAGCCACTCTCCTGTGATACCATCGCCAGGGCAAATGCATTGAAGAGAATCCACGTAATCCCTAAATTCTGGCTTTCTCTTTGCCATCCCCAAAGCCGAACAACCCTACACCTTGAGGGAGTTTCCAAGGAGGGAAACAGAGGCATGTGGCTGATGCGTCCCCACTGCCTGGCAGTGGCCACAGGCAACCCCAGTGCTGTTGCATCCCAGACTCCTGAGGCAGGAGAAGTTACCACCTGAAGCCAGGGGCCTGCCACCAATAGCCTTGGGGACAGTTCTGACCCCAAATCAGGTTACCCTTGGCCCAGAGAGGTACTACTTGCCACAGACTGACGTGGGGATGGTGCTGTCAGCCAGAACTCCCTCGCAGCAGCAGCGGCAGTGTTCTGGAATAGACACCCAAGCTGGCCAGGAGGCGTGCCGCCTGCCCCGAAAACCCGGGCCAGCCAACTCTTGACCAATAACATTGTCTCTTGCACAGTTGGTGGCCACACATTCCTTTGGCCCAGAAGATTTTGATTAAAAGGGCTGGGAGGTTGGAGAGAATCCTCTCAGCACTTCTTTCTCTAGGAGACTGGATTGAAAGACGTGTGGCTCTACTCCAACAACACGGCCAGCTGGCACATGCAGACATTGGCCCGTCAGCACTTACTGCGGCCCAGCCCCTGTGTGCACCGAGGATGTAAACGCAGTTGCGACCCAGCGCCCTTCGGGGCTTCCTTTCTGGGGGCCCGAGAGACACAGACAGACATCAGCGCAGTGGGTGAATGAGCATTCTGGCAGCCCATGCCAGGGCCAGCCATTCAGTGTGACAGAACACAGGGTGGACACGATGGGGATGGAGGGAGGGGTTAGAGAGGGGAGGGTCCGCTGAGAGATGAGCACTGAGGAACTGTAGGACCCAGATCACAGGGGACCTAGGAGGCTGGGTGGGGAAGCCTGGGCCCTGCTGAAAGAGCCGCAGGGAGTCAAAGGGAGTTTAAAGCAGGAGAGTGACATGATGGTGAGGGGTGTTTTGGAAAGCTTTCTTACCATACAGAGGACAGGGGAGGTGACACCACAGAAAGCTGGCCCAGTGAGGCCAGCAGCCCAGCAGCCCTGTGCTTTGGGAGGAGGTGGTCAGCAGGTGGGGGTCAAGCCTGCAAGCTCCCTCTGCCTACCTGGCACCCCCGGCTGCATCTGTGGTGGCTGAGAGGTCCATGGGCCTTGGCAAAACATTCTCCATGTACCTTCTGCTTCCACAGAACAAACCCTAGAGAGTTAGGCTGACGGGGATAAAAGGAAGTGTTATGGCCACAGGTAGCTGCCGCCCAGGTAAGCCAAGGACATACCTGGCTTCTGAGGCAGGCTGGAGGGGCTGTGCAGTCCCTTCCCTTGTCCCTACAAGGTGAAGGCCATTACCAGGATGACAATAATCTATTCCTGGGACCATTCACTTGCTAAAAGCCTCAAATAGTGTTTTCAAAACAAAGTTAGGCTACCTTAATTGACATTCTTAAGTTAAACGAAGGAAATCAAAGGAATCTTAACATCTTAAGTTCTCATTCGGGTTACATGAATGATCTGCTTCCCTCCCGCCCACCTCTGCTCCCACCAAAAAAAATATGTAGGCATGTTGTTCTGAAATTCATGCATGGCATTGTCAAAGGAACCAGGCTGAGGGGAAACGCCCCAGCCCTGAGAGACTATGGGCATTCCTGGATTCCAGCACGGTGTGTGAGGACATCACACATCAGAATAATTACACTAACGAGGGTTTGTTGGGGGAGGCTAAGGGGGATGGGGTCAGAGGAGAAAATGAAAAGGCTAAAGCAGGGGCTTGGAGGGCTCAGAGCCACCCATGGGGAGAAGCAGGTTGAACCAAGGAAAAAGGCCCAGGCCTGGAGACAGAGCCTTTTTCTGGTTCCTGCACTGCCGCTCACAGACGGAGGAACCTGGGGACAAATGTCATAGATCCTCCTCCTTGGATCTCTTCTGTGCTCATCTTCCAAAAAAGTTAGACAGAAGGCAATTTGGCAATGTCTACCAAACTTTAGAACACATATTATACCTTTTGGCCCAGACATTCCATTTCTGGGTGTTTATCTTATACATGTATATACTCTCAAAATACACAAAGATTCATTGCAGTGTTGTTTGTAATAATAAAGGACAAAAAACAACATAAACAAACAATGGCACATCCACACAGTGGAATGCTATGCAACATCAAAAACAAGGGATTAAAAAAAAAGGGATGAAATGATCTTTGACGCACAATTAAGTGAAAAAGCAAGACACAGAACAGTTGTAAAGCGAGCTACCAAGTGGAAAAAAATGAAGAGGATTAATAAACATTTATGTTCCTATATGTATAGACTCTTTGGAAAGAAATGCGAGGAACCAAACACAGGGGCAGCCTCTGGGAAGAGGTCTAGGCCTGAGGGCTATAAACCAGAGATTTGCAATTTCTTATTATATCATAAGCATATAGTGCTCTTTTGGGGGGGGGCACAGTCTCGCTCTGTCATCCAGGTTAGAATGCAGTGGCGTGATCATAGCTCACTGCAACCTCAAATTCCTGGACTCAAGCAATCCTCCTGCCTCAGCCTCCCAAGTAGGTGGGACTACAGGCAAGCGCCACGACGCCAGACTAATTTTTTTTTTCTATTTTTGGAGCTTTTGCTCTTGCTCAGGCTGGTCTCGAACTCCTGAGTGCAAGGGATCCTCCGGCCTTGGCCTCCCAGAGTGCTAGAATTATAGGCGTGAGTCACTGCACCTGGCCCATATGCTTTTTTTTTTTTTTTCTTTGAGACAGAGTCTCACTGTGTTGCCTGGGCTAGAGTGCCGTGGCGTCAACCTAGCTCACAGCAACCTCAAACTCCTGGGCTCAA